AAAAGTTTATTCACAACGTTCAATTTTTAATGTTTGTAATACGTTTGGTAAACTTATGTAAAACGTTATTGTAAAGTTGGTGCACAACGTTCCACAAGTAACGTTTTTGAAATGTTTGCTAAACATACAGTCAGGTTATTCCCAGACAGCACAAAATATTTATAAATAATATAATTTTATCTATAATTTTTTTCTGAAATTTTCCACTTTATTGTTCCAAACGCTATTTAATTCAATTTAAATTGTACTTCAAAAATTTGCTTACCATGTTGGGATTCGAACCTGAGATCTTTGCTTCTTGAACGTTTACCTTGGCTACTGCGCCACTGTCAATTTGACTGATTGTGAGAGACGCTTTATATTGTGTACATATGATATATCCATGTACGAAAACAAGTGATTTATTTAATAGAAGAGAATAGATCCTTTTAAATGTAAAAAATATGTTTAAAAAGTATATAAAAAGTATATTTAAAAAATACTTGTTTTAAAAGTAAGTAAAATACAAATAAATCACTTTGTAAATTTAAATAAATTGTTTTCTGACAATAAAAGGAACTTTAATTTAAAACACAAAAAAGATACTTTTAAAAATAGAAAATAATTTATTTAGATTTATAAAGTGATTTATTTATATTTCATTACTTTTAAATTTACTTGTATTTCATTTATTTTTAAAACAAGCAAATATTTATTTAAACAGTTTTTAAATAATTTTTTCAGTGTACATTAATAATTGAAATTTCAATTTTCTTATTTTTTCATTAATTTAATAGTTATAAATAATTACAATTATTTTTTTCAAGTATAATATTTGTAAATAGAAATATTTACAAAATATTACTACAATAGTTATTTTTTGTTTACCATAAATATTGTATTATATTATAAAATTATAATATTATAAAATATTATAATATTATAATATTATAAAATATTTAGTTTATATTTTAATAATATTTTGAATAAAAATTTTAATACTTTTTTCCTCTATGTACCTAAAATATTTATATATTTTTAAAAAATAATATATATATAAAATTATATATATATATATATATATATATATATATATATATATATATATATATATATATATATATATATATATATATATATATATATAT